TACAAGAATGAGGTACATGGACCCTTAGGGTGAGTTCCGGGTGACCCTACCGGGAGGTCGGGGATCAAGAGGCTTTCGGGCCTTCTGGGGTTTAGGGCTTTGGAGCACCCTACATGAGCCCTAAACCCTAAAACCGTGGTGGTGACCTTGGGTTTCGCGCCGTTATGAACGTGTTGAGTGTGGGACCTTCAAGAAAATTGGTACAGAATACAAGCACAGCTCGACATCTGACCCGACAACCCTAAACCTGCACGGGAGTGTGTTAGTCTGAGAGCTTGAGGCATCCCGAGGTGTGCAGACCCAGGGTTGAGGGCTTCAGGGATTATAGAAGGGTTATCGGCTACGGTCTAGTAGATTTAGGGTTTAGGGTTGGGTTATAGGGTTATAAGGGTTATAATATGGTCATAAGGGTTATACAGGGTTTGGGTTTTTCAGATTCCCCCCCCAAGATTGCAATCGCCTGGGAGGTGCTCTCCGGGCGACTTACACCTGACCCGGTGCAGCGGCGTGTCGTTGAGCTTTGGCTGACAAGCCCACAGCCCGAAGCCCTTTGGAGAGTTTAGGGGTTAGCGTGTAGGGTTTAGGGGGTTTAGGGTATAGGATTTGGGGTTTCGGGTTTAGGGGTTAGGGTTTGGGGTTTAGGGCCTTTACCTGAAGTCTCCAAATTGGATTAGAGTACTACATCAGGAGCCAGTAAGTAAAGCCCACTTCACCCGAAAGCCCTTACAACTAGGACCCTTCAAGCTCATTTTGCCCATAAATCCCTGGAAAAGACTAGCCAAAGCCAGAGGGTCTCCAGAGCTTCAGCCCAAAGCAGACAGGAAACGCATATGCCCTGAAAGCCAAAAACTCAACTAAGGTAGGCTTACGTACGCACGGGGTGGGTTTGTTGGTTTAGGTTGTGCCTGGCTAGGGAAGCCGGGTTGCTGGATTTAGAAAACGAGAAGTCCTTACACATTGCCCGCGGCTCTCGCTTCGACCGGTTCTGGTTGCAGTCCCCGCTTCCAGCGGTTCGGTTCGAGAGCGGTTCGTTCAGCGGTTCCGGTTCGGTTTAAACCCGCCCGCCAAGTGCCAGCATGGGCCCAAGCGCACCAAGTATGACCCAAGTTCGCCAGGTCGCCCAAGTGTGCCAGGCGACTTAAGGGACCCGAGTATCTGCTCCAATTGTTCCAAGTTTATCCATGCGCTCCAAAGGGTCCCCAGTGCCTTGAGTGAGTCCCAAGAGGCGCAGGTGCTTCGAGCGACCGGCCCCAGTGTCTCAAGCGCTTAGAGCCCTGGCAGACGAAGTGACCGAATGAAGTGTCCCAAATGAGCCTAGGAACACAAGTGACCCACGTGTTCCAAGGGCCCCAAGTGCTCCAAACGACCCATGTGACGCCAGTGCTCCAAGTGACCTGGTCCCAGTGACCACTGCGTCCCCCCTGTGTCCCAAGTGACCCAAGTGGCCCAAGTGTCCCAAGCGTCTCAAGCATCTTAAGCATACAATGTCGGTCCAGGGTTCAGGCTTTGGCAGCAGGTGCTGTCGGGGCCTGGGCTTAGATGCAAAGAGAAGCCGTAACCAGCTGCTTCGGGGTTTAGGCCTGGAATTCCCTCAATGCCGAAACCCTAAACCCTAACTCCTCAACGCCTACTTGAAGGACTTCCTCGGCGACGCCCTCGGCCGCGCTTCTGCAAAGACACCCAGCGAGGAGGCCAGGGCAGATGGCAGTTGTTGTGTCGCGCATTGGCGACCCTAATCTAGAGATCCTGCCACATTTGCTCGTTGCTCGACAAGAGGTTCCCCCTTAGCATTTTGGGTACCTCTGGGTAGAAACCTTAGTATCAGATTCCCCGACCATTCTCATACCCTGAACTCTAAACCCTACGTAAAGGGTATAGGCTGGCTTTGAGGTGCAGGCTTTGGGCTTTTGGTTTTGGGGTATTGACGCCTTGCTGCCGCCCTTTCCCTGTGCGTAGTCCCCGGGTAAGTTTAAGGGTTTAGGGTCTAGAGTCTAGAGTTTGCCCTAAGGGCCCATGTACCTAAATATTCAGTACCTGGGCCTTAAAGTACTCCTTATCTAGGGACTTTGGTGCCCAAGTTTTTTTTAATCATGGGCTTAGGGTTCAAGATGGATGATGGACGAGTACTCGCGGGAAGGATTCCTTATACACACATATATATATATATATACAGTTTGTTTGTGTGTGTGTGTTTTTTTTGGTGGTGTTCTGAAGCAAATAGCAGGAGAGGCTTGCTCTTTCCGTGAACTGGTTGAGGGAAGGCAGACCTGGCAGACACGGGAGGCAGCGCTGGCATTATGTCGTCTTCCGACCCATTCCCTTATGGTCGATCTGTATATGTTTGTACTACCATAGCCCCCCATTCTAATCCCAAAGGGTCCTAAGTACCTACATGGTAGAAAGTAGGGTTTCTATATTGGGAATTACCTTTATGGTTTTGGTAAGTGTCCCCCATATAGGTACTTAGGACCCCCATTCTAATTCTTAAGGCCCCTCTACTCCTCACCTTGCAACCTTCCATCCTCAGTGGCTCTTCAGGTTTAAGGTTTAGGGTTTAGGGTTCAGGGTTTAGGGTTTAGGGTTTAGGGTTTAGGGTTTAGGGTTTTGGAGTTGAAGGAGGGCTTGGGGTGAGAGATACTGTGGGCAGGCCCTTGGGATGTTTACTATTTTCCCTTATTGGGTTTAAGAGGGTCGTATGAAGGATTTTCTTCACAGGGTTTCAAGGGCCACCCTAGTGCTAGGACCCTAGACCCCAAACCCTTTAGCGTTCAGGGCAGTTTTCCTCCGATGCAGGAGCCTTCGCATGAAGGACCCTCTGCCGTGCGCCCTCGGCTTGCTTCTTCAGCAGCGCTGTGCCTTGTTAGTCCAAGTGGCTTCGAGGCTTGGATATATCCGGAAACATAACGATGGGGCGTCCACACGGTCTCTGTACAGGAGCTACTGTATAGATATACCTACCATTATAATGAATAGGCCCTACACTAGCACTTGCTAGCTCCCACTTTTTAGTTGTCGATGCTTTATGGCAACATGCATCCCAGACCCCCAGGACGTTGAGCGTTCTTCGCAGAATCAGCCTTACCTCAAGAACCCAAAGCCTAGAACCCTCGGACGCGTCAGGCCCAGCGGTACCCTTTAGTTACCCTATTTGGGGTTTAGGGTTTAGGGTTTAGGGTTTAGAGTGTATTTGGGGTTCTGGGTTCCTATGTAACAACTAGGCAGAAAGGGCACGCAGTACTTTATGGCTCCTGGGCGAATGAAAGGCTATGCCTACAGCAGATGTACACAGATTCGGCGCATTTATCACTCGCAAGTCAAGCGGCTCCTGCGACACGATCGGATATGTAAAACTCTAGACCAGTCATGAAAGTCCGTGTCAGAAGCCTTCAGGATACGTAGTCAAACCCTGCACCCCAGTGTAGTCCAATGCCCTACTTGGAGGTCATGGGCACGTGTAAGTAGGGTTATAAGTACCCTAAATAAGGTTAAGTCCATAGTTGCCATACATACAACCCTACTTCTAAGTGCTCATGAACCTCCACGTATAACGAGCCATAACACTAACCCTAAACCCTAAAACCAAAACCCCAAACCCCAAACCCCAAATCCTAAACCCTACACCCTAAACCCTAAACCCTAAACCCTAAACCCTAAACCCTAAACCCTAAACCCTAAACCCTAAACCCTAAACCCTAAACCCTAAACCCTAACCCGCAGGATGCCCATTTCCAAATCATCCGCGCTGGGTCCTCCCGCAGTCGGCGGTTGGTGCGGCACTGAGAAGAAGTACGGTTTAGGCTTTAGGGTTTAGGCTTTAGGGTTTAGGGTTTAGGGTTTAGGGTTTGGAGTTCAGGGTTTAGGGTTTAGGGCGTCGGGAGTCAGATTTGGGGTTGTGGGTTTCAAGTTTGCGGTGGAGGGTTTGTTCACGTTTGTGGGTTTGAGTTCTGTGGTTCAGGGTGTGCACTGCAGGGGGTTTGGGGAGGGGTGCCTAGAGTTTGGAATTTTGGGGCTTCGGGCTGCGAGGGATAAGTACTTTAAGGCCCAAGTATGCAATACTCAGGTACGTGGACCCTGGGGGAAGTAGAATGGCGTGGGTTTCAGTATCCTATCACCATGTCCAGTCGCCCCTTCGGTCGTTTCGTTGGGTACTTATATACCTCTGCTCTACTTTTTGGTTTCTTCGGGGTTCCATGACTCTTATAGGCCGTGCTCGCTGTATTCAAAACAGGCGGTGTTGAAGGTTAGGGGTTTACCCTAAGAACTCAAAACCTACTTTTGGTGCAGGCTCTTCTTGTGAACCCTTTACAGGATTCTTAGATGGCTACAGAAAAGGAGGTTTTGGGTTCTTAGAATAACTGAACCCTAAACCCTTTAAACCCTAAACCCTAAACCCGAAACCCTAAAGGGGTAGGTTCAAGGTTTGGGGTTGATCTTGCCCAGGCCCCAGCGGCGCCGCCGCGACGGCGGAAGATCATCAGAAGGCAGCGGGCCGAGATCTGAAGGGGGGATGCATGCACTTGCCCTACCACATGTATGACACCTACTGGCTTAGTAAAGTTTAGGGTTTAGGGTTTAGGGTTTAGGGTTTAGGGTTTAGGGTTTAGGGTTTAGGGTTTAGGGATTCAGAACTTTTGCGAAGGTTCAGGGCTTAGCATTTCGGATCTTAAGCACTTAGTTCAGGGTATTGGGGTCCCTGGGTACTGCTCAGCGCATGAATGGATGAGGCTTTGGGGAGGGGGCTCTCAGTCTTGTGGTTGGTCTTAAATTCCCTAAAATATGACAGTTTTCTTTTTATGGCTTAAGGAAAACTCTTAATTCAGGAGTATTGGAGTCTCTGGGTATCAACCCATATAAGCCCCAGGACCTCCTAAACCCTAAACTGCAGCTCCCCCCAAGGTTGCTGCCTAAACCCTAAACCCTAAACCCTGAACCCTTTAACACAAAAAGATGGACAGGTGGCAGAGTGGTCACGGCGCGTAGCGCTGGAGAATGCCCGACGCATGCGGAGCCAACGAGGCCCTCACGGTGGGCTTAGGAGGCTTGGGACTGAAGGTTCGGGGTTTAGGGTTTAGGGTTTAGGGTTTAGGGTTCGGGGTTCAGGGTTTAGGGTTTAGGGTTTAGGGTTTGGGCTTTCAGGTTTGTTTGCTTGCAACATTGCAGGGTGCACATTTGTTGAGTTTTAAATGCCTTGGAAGGCTCGTTCATCATGTACATACGGTTGAGGGTTTAAAGTTTAGGGAGCCGTTGCTTTGTGAGATGACGGTGACACGCAACCAACATCTCCTCTATCTCAGGAGGCCAGGCAAGCATCAACCTACACCCACGTAACACCAAAACAATCCAACCAACCGGAAGCCTCCAATCTCATCACCCTTTCAAGACCCAACAAAAACCCTAAGCTCCAAACTCCTAGCACTCCTAAGACAGACCCTGCACGCCCCTGCACCCGAAAACCCTGGACCCTGACCCCATTTACCCTAGTAGGAAGAATCCAAATGCTGGGATGCCCAGTCTTACGGTAAGGGTCGGAAGAATTACTTACCCCCAGAACCTCATTCTAGTTCTCCACGGCCTCTGGGGCATTCCTCCTTTCCTAGACAACTGGGGAGCCGTTCCAATGTGGTTCAGGGGTTTAGGGTTCAGGGTCCATTATATACTGGAAGACATTGCGGGCCTGATTGTATCTGGTTGTAGATATTCCTTTTGGTTTGGGAACAACAGAAAGGGACCACAACGACTTGGGTCTCTATATCCCGAGGCCCGAAAGCCCGAAGCCCAAACCAAAACCCTTTCAGAAAGAAAGGGCTCGAAAACCCTCAAACCCTGATGTCGTACGGGTCAAGGACCCAAAAACCCTCAGGCTTAACTTACTATAGGGGTCGGAATAGTTACTAATATGATTCCCTTATGGTCCCTTTATACAATTGTACCAGAATCACCCCCCCCAAAACCCCATTCTAGTTATTAGGGCCCCTATACTTTGTGGCGCTTTACCGTAACTTTAGATCCTTAGCCTTTTTGGGTTTGTTGGGTTTCTTAACAAGGAAGCTAAACGTTTAGTTTTTTACTACCCTCCTAAGTGCAGCCAAGTATATTAGGTCAGTTTCCAGGTGGCAGCGGGTCAGGAGCGACAGGAGCCACCTCCGACGGCCAGGCAGCGGTTTGGACCCTAAACCCTGAACCCTAAACCCTAAACCCTAAACCCTAAACCCTAAATTAGATTTCCCAACTGTGTTTGTACTTTGGGGATTCTTTGTCATCAGCACGCGCCCGACCACCTGCCTGAAAGTAGACAATTGCAGTATGAGCTAAACCTCTTTTACATCTTGATGTCAGGCGCTCCAATATTATATTTACTGAGCTAAGTGAACTGATTACATTAGCGGCCTATTGGGCCGCTCATCATTTTATTTTTGTATTCACTGCGCCCCAAAGTAAACAAATGGGCGCCTTGTTTTTTTAAAGTTGGTTTGGATGCAACAATAATATTAACGGAAAACCCCGGGCGCTTACTTGTAGTAATATGATCTTCTTTCCTTTGGAGATACTATAAGGGGGTTTGGAAAGTCCCTATACCCCTGAGAGGATCCAAAAAGTCGAACCCCCCCCCCCCCCCCCAAATAGTACCCTATACTACTATTAGGTCATTCTTAGGAACCCTTCAGGGGATCTGCTTCTTGTGGATCCTCTTCAGGGTCTGGGAAACCCCGAGCCCTGAAACCCTAAACCCTAACCCTAAACCCTAAACCCTAAACCCTAAACCCTAAACCCTAAACCCTAAACCCTGAAGCTCAGCTTGTCAGCATGGCAGGTTTCGTCTGCCTCCATCTCCACTGCTCCCGCGGAGAGGCCCCCTACACAGGCCAGCTTAACCTCCGCATTGTCTTTGGGCCTAAACCCTAAACCCTAAACCCTAAACCCTAAACCCTAAACCCTAAACCCTAAACCCTAAACCCTACTGGGTTTAAGCTTGGTAGCCCAGTGGCGCCCTTCCCTTGGCCCCCTTTTTTGAGTGGGGGGGCTTCGAGGTTCCCTTAAGTAAAGCAACCCCCCCCCCCCCCCCCGACAAAAAAGGGTACCCTTATTGTACTATGGTTTCTGGGCTACCACGTAAGGGCTCATAGGCCCATTTTTCGGGTTTAGTTGGCGCGCAGGGCATTTCTGTGTGTTGCCTCCGAGCCAGCGACAAGTCTAGCTGCCAGCTCCACCGAAGCCCCACCGCACAGAGGTGCCATGGAAGGCCTCCCTTCTCCAGTTCCTCCTCAGCAAGTGCAGGTGGAGTTGCCCAACGGTGCTCCGAGGTCAATCTCTGGCAGCAGCAACTATTATCGCGTGGCAAGCACAACCACCCTCGAAGAGCTCCGGCAGCAGCAGCGGGAGCAGGCCATGGAGCGCATGGAGCCCGCGGAGCGCATGGAGCCCGCGGAGCAAGCGGCGGAGAATAGAGCTGAGAACCCCAGCAGAGATCATGATGGCATCGTGCCGGATCCGGAAGCTCCGCCGCAAGACGTGGGAAAGGCGTGGACGGATGATGTGCTCGAGTCTGCAAAAGCTGTCGGGCACAACCCCTCGATGCAATCGATGAAGTCCGCCATCCAGAAGGGCGTTCTTGCAAAGATGGCTTCCAAGGTTTTCCCGAACGACCGCATCCACGAAGACCCGTGCCAGCGTCAGCACACCTGTTGCCAGACAGTCACCACCGTGCTCAGCGCTGTCTTGCTGCTCCCGCTTGGCGTGGTTCTGCACGACGCACCTTCCCCGTGGTTGCAAAAGGCCGTACGCTACAGCGCAGTGCTCATGGGCACCATGGCATGGGGTGCATGCGTGTTTACCGCATTCACCGCCACCGAAACTGGATGGCAGATGGGCAGCTGTTGGTTTCGGGTTTTGGAGGCCACAGCTTTCATGGGGCTTTTGCTTGGAAAAAGCAGCAGCAAGAGCTTTCAACAGTTGAACGCCCATGTGATGAAGGCCATGAAATCACAAAGCTTTGGTTCAGCTGCACACGCGAGCATCAAGTGCGACGTGGCTGTGGTCCTGGCATGCTGCGCCAGCTGGCTGACTTGCCACTTTGCGAAGGTTCGACTTGTGTCAATGTCTGGTGGCCAGATGACTTGGCAAGTCTTCCTATTGCCGTGCCAACAAGCCCTGTACCGTGCCTCATGGGCTCTATGGCTCCTGCGCTTGAACCATCTGCTGAAGGCTCTGGTGGATACATTCTGCCGCAGCTGCGCCCAGTTCCCTACCGCGGTGGACGCAACATACACCCAATGGTTCGGCGTTACGGCCTTCGCCGGGCAGATCGCCGAGGAGGGGGATGTGGTGCTCCTTGGTGTGCCTGGAGCATGGCTTTCTAGCTGCTAGCAGGGTTTAGGGTTTAGGGTTTAGGGTATTTTAAAGTCAAGCTTGGTATAGTATAGGCTCATTGGTGGCAGGATACCTTGTGTGGGGGGGGGAGGGGGGGCGGCAGCAGGTACTTGGTGATGTGCGGCACGGCATTGTCCAGCGCGGTCGCGCCCATGCTGGAGATCTTTCTACCCGCTGAGGAGTTCCCCGCTGAGGAGTTCCCCGCTGGCAGTACAGACTGGCTGCTTCCGCAACTGATCGCCAGCGCCACTTGGCACCCCGGTGGTACCCTTTTCCCTGTTTTTTTGGTTTAAGGTTCCCTTAGAAGCAAAAAGGGGGGGGGTGCCCTTACTATCATATGGTTACTGGGGTACCAAGGCTACAAACTTCTTCCTTGCGGCCCACGTGATCAGGAGTGCTTCGTCAGCAACAGCAAAGTGCGAAGCGGCAGCTTCCTTCGTCAACTCTTTGCAAGCGTGCCTGCCCAGTCACATGCGCCCGGAGCATCGACTGTTCGTCAGCTACATGGAGGCCAGCGATGCCGGCATCTTCGTTCGGGGAGGCAAAGTCACTACTTCCTTACTTTTCCGCTTGCAGTCCCTTGCCTTCAGTGCGGTGTTCTTCTCAGCACTGCGCTACCAGGCCCTGCCCGAGGCGCAGAGGGTGCACATTGAAAACCAGCTGAACCGATTCATACATGCCGTGGCTTTCTGGGCAGATGGCCCTTCAGCTTGATGTTTCAATGGCATGAGAGTAGCTTTGATTCAAGGGGGGCCGAGGTCACTCCTTGAGGCTTTATAACTGTGCAGGTGTACAGCCAGTTGAACCGGTTTTCATCGAGCGCACCACATCCCCACCATCATCCTCCATGAAGACAGCGTCGTACTATCCACGTATGAGCTTGCATTCCTTCTTGCCATCTTTATGGAGAGTGTTGGGGGCTCGCGTTGGGTTCAAAGCCCGCAACCAAGAGCAGGCCGCACAGTGAGCGATGCCCAGGCACTTGTCTCTTGCCTCTGCCATCGCATCATGATGTGAGACCTCTGCCTCGATAACTAAAGGAGGGGCCCTTGTAAGGGACCCTAGGGGTTTTCTTTGGAGGTTATGTAGGGGGCTACTATGCAAGGTATATGTATATATATATATATATTTATTTATATTGATATAGGGTTCTATGGCAATCTTGATCATTTCTCTTTCCTTCAGCGGAACCTGGCAGCCAACAGCAGCCTTCCTCCGCTGGAGCTTTTTCTGTAGTTGCATGCTGTGAAGCATTCGCCCTAAACCCTAAACCCTAAACCTGCAGACTAAGACTTCTGCTTGCCACCTCGTGCTCAAAGGTGTCGCCTGGGGCTCGGGTTTCAGACAGCCTGAGGGCTTGAGGTGTAGGCCTTACGTTGCTTTCGTCTGATTATCACCTGGACATGTTCGGCTCTTCTCCTAAGAGTCTTCAGTTGGGTGTGGAGTCACTGGACATAAGGTCTAGGATGGCCCTTAAAACCTAAAACCCTCTGAAAAGTACGCTAAACCCTAAACCCTAAGCCCTAAACCCTAAACCCTACACCTTAACCCTAAATATGATCCTCTTAAACCCAAAAATGGAATTACCAAATATCCCTAAGGGCCCCACCTACTGGCAGTTGTTTACTTCGGCCAAGACGTTCAAGACTTAGGGTCGCCAGGGTTCAGGGTTCAGGGTTTAGGGTTTAGGGTTTAGGGTTTAGGGTTTAGGGTTTAGGGTTTCGGGGTTCAAGGGTCAGGGGTTCAGGCCGGACACGAGTCTCAGAGCATGTACTTAAGACCCGAGAAGCACCCTAAAGAATGAACTCCAAGCTTCTTGTGTGGGCCCTGAACTTTCACCCCTAAACCCTAAACCCTAAACCCTAAACCCTAAACCCTAAACCCTAAACCCTAAACCCTAAACCCTAAACCCTAAACCCTAAACCCTAAACCCCAAACCCCAAACCCCAAACCCTAAACCCTAAACCCTAAACCCTAAACGGCAGGCCGTATCTCGCCCAGCCGCAGCACCGCGCAAGCCACAGAAGAGCTCCGTCTACATGCACGGCCGGGGCGAAGCAATGTGGTTGAGGGTTTAGGGTTTAGGGTTTAGACCTTTGGGCTGAGGGCTTAGGGCTTGGGGCTTAAGGCTTCGGCCTAATTGGAGGGTGCGGGGTGGGGGGGGGGGGGGGGGTCAAACACAATCCTCTGTCGCGCTTATGCCTTGCACAAACCCTTAGAGCCTTGGGTTTTAGATTTTCGGGCTCAGGTTAGGGTTCAGGGTTTCGGGTTTAGGGCTGAGGTCTCAGGGTCTGTCAAGTTTCTTGGCTTCTTCCGCCAAACCATTCTGCAAGCTGCTTTTGGCTTCCCAAAGCACTCAACCCTCGCATGGGGACACTGAGCGGCAGCTTGCAAGCAGACCACTTCTGTACTTCTAGAGGCAGCTGAATAGCTACCCCTAAGGGCCCATGTACCGAATGTAGTATCTACTTGGGCCCTAAAGCTACTGTGTGGGAACCGCTTTAAGTTATTAAGGCCCAAGTATTTACTACATAGGTACATGGACCACTCGTAACCTGGGCGGCGGCGGCAGCAGCAGCAGCACCACCACCACTACCTGCCACCACCAACAGACTATTAACACAAAAAAGCGCCGAAGGCGCCGCTACCAGGTTTCGGGTTTAGGGTTTAGGGTTCATGCAAGGACGAGGATGTTGATGGAAACTCTTACAACAGGTGAACATGTGGAGGGTTCATTATCGCTGCTACAATGGCCATGACCTTCACCCCTTGCTTCAGGCCCTGGGTCTCAAAGATTGTTCCCCGCGACTTTTAGGCTTCCATGTGGGGCGTTTCCAAAAACCTTTTTGGTGGTCCCTTTTTGAAGGGGATTCTATTGTTTTCTGTTTGGGGTATAAAAGGGGTACCCCCATTCTGGGCCATTAACCATGTGGGTAGTTCTCTAACTTAGAGTGCTTTCTGGGGTCCTATATATGACGGCACTCTTATAAAAAGAACCCCCAAACGGGTGAGTTCGGAGAAGCCTAAACCCTCAGCCCTAAACCCTAAACCCTAAACCCTAAACCCTAAACCCTAAACCCTAAACCCTAAACCCTAAACCCTAAGCCCTAAGCCCTAAGCCCTAAGCCCTAAACCCTAAACCCTAAACCCTAAACCCAAACTACCCATGTGTCATGGGCAGGTCCCGTCGGAACAGGCAAGACCATGCTCCTCAGCTGCATTCCGCCCTGGGAGTTGAAAGTCTTATGGGGTTTTGAAAGTTGTGCGATCTCTTGTAACCTCTGGGCAGAGGAAACCTCCATCGCTGCCCAAACCCACAATGCCCAGGGCAGATGTTTTATCATCGTCAGTTGTGCCGGTTTAGGGTTTAGGGTTTAGGGTTCGGGGTTTAGGGTTCAGGGTTCAGGGTTCAGGGTTCCTGAAACCCTAAACCCTGAACCACAGTGGGAGTTGTTGAACGGTACATGCGGGCATCAATAGAGGAAAGAGGAGGCGGTCCTGCAGCCTCCAAACCCTAAACCCTAAACCCTAAACCCTAAACCCTAAACCCTAAACCCTAAACCCTAAACCCTAAATCCTGACTTAGGGTCCCGGGCTTGCCTTTTTGTTTAGGGTTTGGGGGTTCAGGCGCTTTTAGAGTTTAGGGTTTAGGGCCAGGACCCAGCCTCTCCTTTACAGGTTCAGGTTCCTTTCTAAAGCCCTTTAAACCAACACGGGCACCCTTTCTTATGTCTAGGGTACTCTTGGGTCTGGAAGGGGAACCTGTCAGTGTATGAGCTGGGTGTAGGGTTGAGGGCTTGGGGTCTAGGTGGGTGAAGGCTCTTACGGATAGCAGTAAATCAACAAACCATAAAGCTCTAAAGCGCTAGACACCCACAAAAGCCGAGGCTTATGGACCTCTTCTACGACCATGCACGCGGGGCCTTCTGGCCTGAACCTGTCAGGTTTAGGGTTTACCTCGACAATGTTGTCCCTTACAGGGCAAGGCCCTAAAGTTAGGAAACCTCGAAGCCCTGAACCCGACATCCGACATGAGGGGAGCTTACCCTAAACCCTAAACCCCAAACCCTAAACCCTAAACCCCAAACCCTAAACCCTAAACCCTAAACCCCAAACCCTAAACCCTAAACCCTAAACCCCAAACCCTAAACCCCAAACCCCTAAACCGACAGGCCGGGCTGAGGACGCTGAGGAGGCACTTCTACGAGTTCATGATGGGCCCGTGGCCCCGGGAGCCAGAACTTTGGCCCTACTACCCCCCTCTATACTACCCCCCCTAGGTTCCTCCCTTAAATAACCGTTTTTAGGCTTAATCATCCCTAAATAGCCTTAATTTCATGAGGGGAGCCTAGGAAGGATAGAGGGGGGTAGTAGGGGAACCCCATGGTTGGTGTTTCTTTGGGATGTTCCCCTTGAAACGATCCTTAATAGGGATGAGAACATCTGTATAAGTTTTCGGCTGCCCGTGTCTGGGCAAGGTAGGGTTGGGGAAGATTTCTACATGTTGCCCTTCTTGTGGTGGAAGAGGATCCTCTGTGGGGTTAAGGGGCCGGCCAACCTAGCGGAGTTTCCGGCAGCATCTAACATTGTGGTGCTTTACTGTAACTTTACATCCTTAGCCTTTTTGGGCTTATTGGGTTTCTTAATGGGGCAGCTAAACGTTCGATTTTTTACTACCCTCCTAAGTGCAGCAAAGCTAAGGATCACAACCTTTCAGAATAGGATGGACCTCGATTCTGGGAAACGTTGGCTGGAATCCGCTTCATGATCCTCCTGGCGATTCAGGGCCTGGCAGGGCTTCGGCCTCTCAAGGAAGCCTGCCATGAAAAGGCACCTATGTGTGGACTCAGGGCGAAGAGCCCTCTGAGTATGCTTCGGGTTCGGGGGGGGGGGGGGGGCATGTAACCCTAAACCCTAAGCCCTAAACCCTAAGCCCTAAACCCCAAGAGTGGTTGCGGGGCTTTTGCAAAGGATTTCGCTCTAAAGCCTAAATCCTATATCCGACATGAAGGCACCCCAAGTACCTTGAGCCGTCTAGCCTGCAACCTCTGTAAGATGTTATTCAGGGTTTAGGGTTTAGTGTTTAGGGTGCAACTACCCGATACTACCTACAAACCTTCAAGTAAGCCTACTTTGAAGTTTGCTGGCAGTGACTGCGTCAGAGGCTCCGTTCACGCATGTTCCCGCAGCTCTGCGCAGCCCATGACCTCTAGTTAGACCCAAAACCCCAAGCTCGAAACCCTAAACCCTGGACCCTAAACCTCAACCCCTGTAGACCCTAAACTCCTGGACCCGAAGTCCTAAACCCTAAACCCCAGGTCTGCACCGGCAGATACATCAAATCCAGCAAGAACGGCCTGTGGAGGCCCCCGAAGAGGGGTTCAGAAGTTGGAGGAACTACCTAAACCCTTTCACAGGTGAATTGTGGTTTAGGCTTAGGGCTTGGGGTTTAGGGTTTACAGGCAAGCTAACAGAAAACTCAGGGTCATCTGTTTTGGTGGTTAGGTGGCGCTGTAAGTAGGCAGTTATGTATAGCACTACGCTTATCCTTATCCCAATTTTTATAGCTGCCCATGAAACTACATGCGGTTCAGGGTTGAGGGCTCAGTGGCCTTTTCCCTACACCCCAGACCCGAAAGCCCTGAAACCCTAAAGCCTAAACGCTGAAAGCCTTTGACTTCCGAAGTGGGGCGTCGCCATTTGTCCACCCAGCGGAAGATGCATAGAAACGGAACCCTAAACCCCAAACCCTAAACCCTAAACCTCTTGGGGGTTCCGACCTCGCCTGCAAGAACTATTAGGAAGCCAGGAAGTCGTAGCGCCGGAAGGCTTCACCTAGGGTTCAGGTCTGTTGCGCCGGTTTGGGGTTTAGGGTTAGGGTTTAGGGTTTAGGGTTTAGGGTTTCGGGTTTAGGGTTTAGGGTTCAGGGTTTAGGGTTTCGGGTTTAGGGTTTCAGGGTTTTCGGGGAGGTGGCTGCGAATTCCCTGGCTGACGACATTGACGTGCTATGCTTCGATGAGTTCCAGATCACCGACATCCAGGAAGCATGAGCGTTTAGGGTTTTAGGGTTACAAGTGTTTATAAGGGTTTAGTACTTAGTAACCCAATTATAACTGCACTTATAACCCTATTATAACCCTATTTTGGGGTACTCAAGGGGCTTACAAGATATTTGGGTTTTAAGTACCCTGAACCTCCAAGTGCTGTCCGCTTTCCTCAGCTCTGCCCGTGAATCAAACTGCGTCAGGACGCTGCGATTTTGCCGCGGCTGTTTGAGGCTTTGGGCCGTGGGCCATGTGCACACGAGCTTCTCCTAAATGCTCGACATGTAAATCACTTACGTTGTAAGCTTGGGAGGTCCTCTTCTTGCGGGGCGTGACTGTCGTGCCTGCCTTGGAGCACCCGTGGCTCGGGGCTTGCATAGGCAGAAGGCAAGCACCTCGAAGAGACCCTGAACGATGCGGTGCTCTGCACCCTCAAAACCTGAACCCGCAAACCCCGAAACCAACCAAACCCGTGGTCCTAAGAGTGGGAATGGAGGGCCTTGGACCCCTGCGAAAGCAGCTGGGGTGGAATGAAGAAGCCAACAGGCCTTGGCATCTTCGTCATCCAAGAATGCTTCTCCCCCCCTCGGGCCCCGCACCCCCATGGGTTGGGATCAGGGCTTAGGGTTTCGGATTTCAGGTTCAGAACTCCAATGTGTTTACTTTTCCCCGGTATCACCAGTCTTGCATGGAGACTGTAGTGCTTGTAAGGGCTAGTTCAGGACTCCTGTGCCAATCAAAGATGCCAAGATGAGGTCATGACGTCGAATACTTCGCCTCAGCTGCTCTACAGTGGCCAACGCCTTGGTGAGCAGAAAGGGGCACAAACCCCGCAGCCCCCCAGAAGCCCCCCCCTGAGAACCCCCCTTAGAAGCCCTCCCAAAGCCCCCCCCCAAGACTCCTTGGAAGCCCCAAGGCCCCGCAGCCCCACCAAGGCCAAGCCCGATAGCCCGTCTGGTTAACCACAGGGTTGCTAAAGGCGCGATGAACGGGGTTGGGGTTTAGGGTTTAGGGTTTAGGGTTTTGGGTTTTGGGTTTCGGGTCATAAAGCCCAAAGCTCCGCAAGTGAGGTGGCCTGAATCGACATGTGCACCTGCCCTCCTTCATCAATGTCCTGGCACGGTCCTTGGTGCACAGTTCCGGCGCGTGGTAGTTAGGCATACAAGAGGATACTTGAGGTGTTCTGTTTGATGGTTTCGTTCCGGGTTGTTCAATATAGGCGCGGTTTGGGGCTTGCGGATCAGAGTTTTTGGGAATGGGTGCTTAGGGAATCGACCTTGCGGCATTCTGCTTCACAAAGACGTCAGCAGGCGGCCAGGTGTCTTAACAGGTTGAAAGAGGGGAGGGTACCAAACATTGAAGAAGGCCGGTGCAGGGTTTCCTTGACACACCCCTCTCCCCTGAAATCACGGGAAGCATACCTGAATACCTCAGTATCACATGTCTCGGCATGGGGTACAAGATCTAAAGCTTAGGAGCCTCGATGCCCGAGATGCAAGGCAAAAAAGGTGGGTTTTAGGGTGTTAACTAGGACCGAAAGTAGGCCCTTTTTTCCTTTTTTCTGGGGTTGGGGTTCCCTTAAAGATCCCCTTAAAACCCAAAAGGGCACCCTTTTAATTCCTAGGTTACTCCCGGGCCTAGTTATGTTCAGGGGGCATTTCTAAAGGATTGCCGTACCTGTACCGACAGAAGTGGGGCCCTTCCACCTTCATTGTGAGGCTCCGGTTAGGGTTTAGGGTTTAGGGTTTAGGGTTTAGGGTTTAGGGTTTAGGGTTTAGGGTTTAGGGTTTAGGGTTTAGGGTTTAGGGTTTAGGGTTTAGGGTTTAGGGTTTAGGGTTTAGGGTTTAGGGTTTAGGGTTTTAGGGTTTAGGGGTTTAGGGTTTAGGGTTTAGGATGGTTACCCCCCCCCCCCCCCCTCCCTGTAGGGGTTCAAGTGTTCTAGGTGTCGTCGATATGTCGGCTCGGGCTAGAACCCGATCTTTAAACTCAACAGCAGGACCTCCTTCCCCGAAGATCCCAGTCCCCGACGACTTCAAAACACTTGTCGTTCCAGACAGCAGCACAGGGCGAACACTGCCTGGTGCTTGGTTTGGGTGCAGGCGGCAAAGCTGCCGGGGCCTTGCGGCGGAAAGGGAGGTTTGGGTTTAGGACAACATTCGGGGATCTTTTGTTTTGGGACTTTCGGATCTTGGCATTCTCATTACTCATTCATTATTCCTGTGACTATGAGAGTGTTGTTCATCATCAGTATTATGGATGTTTTTGGTTTTGGGCAGGGTTTGGGGTTTTTGGGGTTTCCGGCGCTGGGATCTAGGTTTGGCTTCTTAGTATTTGAGGTTCAGGGGCCCCCGTTTGTAGGCAGGGTTATATCTTCTCCTTGGGGCCCTCCCTCGTCCAGGTTAGCCGGGCGTTTGCGTCCCATCGGGTTATGCTTTTGTGGTTTTGGGGTGCCGGGTTGTGAGGGTTTAGGGTTGGGGAGGACAATCCCCAGAGGCCCCCTATGTTCTTCAGGTGTCGGGTACCTTCCCCTCCCCCTCGAACCCGCCCTCTCCCTTGTAAGGACCTAGAACCCTCAACCTTGGGCTGTTCCCCCTTATACTGTCCTTAATAGGGATTGTAGTACCCTCCAGTAAGGCAAGGACTGCTCGTTTTGGGGGGGGGGAGGGAACATCCAAAACCTAAACCCTAAACCCTAAACCCTAAACCCTAGGCCTAAGCCCTAAACCCTAAACACTTAACCCTATAACCCTATAACCCTATAACCCTATAACCCTATAACCCTATAACCCTAGCCTAAAGAGCGTGCTCGCATGAGGTCGACTACCGCCGTCGTGCAGAGGCCGCTGAGCTGGCCGAGGCGGCCCGCAGGGGACGTGGCGCAGGGCTTGGGGTTTAGGGTTTGGGGTTTAGGGCTTGGGGTTTAGGGTTTGGGGTTTAGGGTTTGGGGTTTGGGGTTTAGGGTTTGGGGTTTAGGGTTTGGGCTTTAGGGTTTAGGGTTTAGGATTTGGGGCAGTTTCGGTGGCGGGAGATTCTTGGGTAGTTCTGGGTTTAGGATTCAGGCGTTAGGGCTGACTTGTCGAAACGGCATCTTGTGCACGTGTGCACGTAGTGACACACGGTGAACGCATGCCGAAGCATGCGGCTCCGAGGTGCCGAGGTAGCTGGACCTTTTCGAAACACCCGCCCTCTTCTCCCTATAAAGGAAAGAGACAGTGGGGTGACAGTCCTTCGCCTTCGCTAAAGTGTTAAGAGACTGAGCGCCGCCTCCTGCTTGTTTGTAAAAGTGTCGGCACTCGAGCGTTTCTTTGCGTGAGCTTGCCATTTTGTGCGACCTCTGTGAAGTTCACGTGTCCTGGTCCCTTTGTTGCTTCTTGGCTTCTAATTACATCATCTAGTCACAGTCATCTGCTGAGAAGCCTTAGCTGGACACCCTGCTACACCTCTAACCCCGAAGCCTCAACCCCTAAACTACGAGCCCTATACCCCAAAGCATCAAGGCTTCAAGCTTCCAGCCTTTGAAACCAGCTCAGACCCTGAAGCCTCAACCCCGAAGCCCTCGACCCCCGATTCTCGCAGGGCTTCGGGGTCTTGAGGTTTAGGGAGTCTAGGGAGTTTAGGGAGTTTACGGGTTTAGGGGTTTAGGGTTTGGCGTTTAAGGAGTTCAGGGTTTAGGGGTTTAGGTCTGAAACTTTGACCCCAAGACAAAAGGCGCCAACAGATTCGGAGCTTAGGGTTTATAGGGTTGAGCATGAGGACCATTCCTTCCATTATACTCTAAGCCCTAGCCCTAAACCCTAAACCCTAAACCCTAAACCCTAAACCCTAAACCCTAAACCCTAAACCCTAAACCCTCCTGAACAAGCTTCGTCTCCAAAGCGGCCCGGATTTCGGATCCTCACAGGGCGCCTCCAGCACCCACAGTCTGGGGCCCCAGAAGCTTGGTTTAGGGTTTAGGGTTTAGGGTTTAGGGTTTAGGGTTTAGGGTTTAGGGTTTAGGGTTTAGGGTTTAGGGTTTAGGGTTTAGGGTTTAGGGTTTAGGGTTTAGGGTTTAGGGCATAGGGTTTGGGGCAGTTTCGGGTTTAGGGTTTGGGGTCGGTAGTGGCGGGTGCTGGGTTGATGCTGTGTGTAGATGAGGCTTTCAGGGTGTCGAGATGGCCGCTGCCAACCTGGCAGTATAGGATGATGGGATAGGACCCAGAGTCGGCCCTTATTCCCCTTTTTTTTCGGGTTTAGGGTTTAGGGTTTAGGGTTTAGGGTTTAGGGTTTAGGGTTTAGGGTTTAGGGTTTAGGGTTTAGGGTTTAGGGTTTAGGGTTTACGGCCCCTATTTAGAGTACAGAGGCGATAGAGGTTCGAACTCCATTGGAGCCAGTTTTTTGGCCTAGGCCCTAACCCCCCCAAACCCTAAAGCCGAAACCCCCAGACCCTAGACCGCACAAACCCTCAACCCTCAACCCTAAGCCCTAAGCCCTAAACCCCCAAACCCTAAACCGTATGTCCTAAACCCTAAACCCTAAAACGGCTCTCCGCCCAGTCGCCTACCTCTCCGGCCCAGACGCCGAACGCCGACTCCAGGAGTGCTGGGTCCATGTTGCTTAGGCTGGTTTAAGGTTCAGGGTTTGGGGTTTAGGGTTTAGGGCTAGGATTTAGGGTTTGGAGTTAAGGCTTAAACCCTAAACCCTGGCTTTCTTGAGGTCTTTGGGGTCTTTAGGTGTTCAGAGTTCTCTAAGTTACGTTCCTTAAACAAAATGGTGCATCCCCAAGGGGAACAGAACTTAAGAGCCTTAGAGCCCAGGGTCTTAGGGCCTATGTCAGGGATCCCTTTAGCTGTTGTTGTTCGGGGTTCGTATAGGCTTCTTTACCTGAGAAAGTATATCTTCTTTAAAAAAAAAGGTTCTGTTGTCAACCAGGAAATCCTACACTCCAATTCCTAAGCCGTAAAAAACCTAAATTGTTTATGGATTAGGGTCCCGGCGCCTTCCCTCACGTAGCACGGACTTTTCGTGGCACTCACAGAGCAGGCGTTCTTAGTGCATGGCATTTAGAATCCTGCCTACCTCGCGCGCCGCGTTTTACTGCCACGTTTGTCACACTCACACTCAACGCATGTGGAATGGAACATGGAATGTGCGAGCGCAGGATTGAGCAGCTATTGCGGCATTCCGTTCACAGACGCGTGCCGCCGTGGCGTTCCACGTGGCGTTCCGCGTCCATCAAGCTAAGGGGGAACTCCATTCGCGCGCCGCCGTGGCGTTCCCCGTGGCGTTCCGAATCCGTCAAGCTAAGGGGGAACTCCACAGAGTAGGGGCGTTCCACGTGGCGTTCTGCGGTGCTCCGAATGCGTCAAGCTAAGGGGGAACTCCACAGGACGCGCACTGCCGTGGCGTTCCACGTGGCGTTCCGCGGTGTTCCGAATCCATCAAGCTAAGGGGGAACTCCACGGGGCACGATTCTCGGAGGCGTTCCACGTGGCGTTCCGCTGTTCCGAATCCGTCAAGCTAAGGAGGAACTCCACAGGATGCGCGCCCCCGCGGCGTTCCACGTGGCGTTCCCGCGGCGTTCCGAATCCATCACAGGGCACGCGTCCCGGGGGCGTACCACGTGGCGTTCCGCGGCGTTCCGAATGCGTCAAGCTAGGGGGGAACTCCACAGGACGCGCGCCGCCGTGGCGTTCCACGTGTTTTGAATCCATCAAGCTAAGGAGGAACTCGCTCCACAGGGCACGATTCCCGGGGCGTTCCACGTGGCGCGGCGTTCCACGTGGCGTTCTGCTGGTCCCGCGGTGATGGTCCCGTGGTGGTGGTCCGTGGTGGTGGTCCGTGGTGGTCCTGTGGTGGTCCGTGTGGTTCGGTGGTGGTGGTCCCGTGGCGGTAGTCCCATGGTGGTGTGGTCCAGTGGTGGTGGCGGTCCCGTGGTGGTGGTGCTCCTGCAATGTGGTCCCGTGATGGTGGTCCCGTGGTGGTGGTCCCGTGGTGGTGTGGTCTCCATGGTGGTGGTCCCGTGGTGGTGGTCCCGTGGTGGTGGTCCCGTGGTGGTGGTCCCGTGGTGGTGGTCCCGTGGTGGGTGATCCCGCTGGTCTCGTGGTGGTGGTCCGTGGTGGGCTTCATTGGTGGTCCGTGGTGGTGGTCGCGTGGTGGTGGTCCCATGGTGTGGTCCCGTGGTGGTGGTCGCGTGGTGGTCGTCCGTGATGGTGGTCCCGTGGCGCTGGTCCGTGGTGGTGGTCCGTGGTGGTGGTCCGTCCGCCCGCCACGGACGTTTCGTTTATATTGCGTTGTATTTACTGCATTCGGGTTCGTGGATCCTATCAGGTTTTTTTTTTTTGTGAAAGTGTCGTACATGGTTTTGGAGAAACAACTCATGACCCTAAACCCTATGGCAGGACAAATGAAAAATATTGAAAGATGTTTTGTGGAAAGTCGCAAATTTGAACCGGCTGCTCAACATGCATACTGAATGAAGACTTTGCTTTGGGTTTTATCTTCAAATTTCTAGCGCTCGAGATGTTTTTACGGACAAAGCATGGTCCAGCATGTTTGCAAAAGCTTGGTCTCCCGCAAGGCGCTGCATGGTGCTGTGGAAGGCACTGCCGCCGCGGCCGCGCAAGCGCTTGATCCGGGGCTGCAGGGCGATAGGGCGCAGGGATCTTCCATCTGTTGTCGTCCTTCGTTGCAGTCCAAGAGGCTGTCTTGTCTGCCATAGCCTTCACGCATTCAAACACCTCCGGCGCAGCCGCGACGAACAGAACCCAGCCAACGCTGCCTCTGAGGCCGTCGGCGCGGCAAGTGTGCCGCCGCACGTCAGGCCTAACCGCGGCTCCTCTGGCGCGGAAGGGGTCGATATGGCACAAGGCGTGTGGCTCGGACGAAGCTTGGGCTTGTGCGCACTCCTAGGAATTGTACTATGCGCAGCTACCACTAGCGCAGCACCGAAGCGAGGGGGCCACATCACGGTCCTACCACTTTTTTGTTTAATAGTGCCTGGCATCCAAACGAACAAATGGAGGTCGCGAGACAAAAAACGTGCCTGTTCTCCAATTGCTTTCTCGCAGTGTCTGGCTGCAAAACGAACGAACGGAAATGGAAACGCCGAAGCAACAGATCATGGACGAGATGAACCAGTGCCCAGTCTCGAACACCATGTGCGTGGGAGGAAAGCGCCCGATCTAGCAGGTCTTGGCTTGTGGTTGGTTCTGCTGCGTTTGGTTCTGTTGAAAGCTGCGTTTTTGCTTGACGCGGGGACGTTGACCGTTTTGACCGGAGGTACTGCTGCTACTGCTACTCCTGCTACTGCTACTGAAGCTACCGCTGCTATAACGGCTACTTGCTACTACTGCTCCTACTGCTACTACTGCTTCTATTGTTACTGCTGCTACTACTGCTGCTGCTACTACTACCTTGCAGTGGTAACCTGATTATCCAGCTAAGCCCACCGCAAGGCTTCGCAGAAAGCCCAAATCGGAGACAATGAATCTGCCGCCACAAGGCTTGCTTCGTTCGAGGACATCGACTGAAGTGGTCGGGCAGCATTGGCAGCGTTGGCTTCACGGCGGCTCGAGGGTTGGGACAGCTGGGACTTTGCAGATGTGACCAAGCGGTCCTGCAACAAGCTCATCTACTCATGAGGGGTTATCCTTTGGCTCAGGTTACGTGTTGGACATCGCCAACAGCGCAGAAAGCTTAGTTTTAACAGTCCCGGCCTGGCTTCAGAAGACTGGTCAAGAAACAGAAGATCTCAGTCTTACAGCGCAAAAGTCTTCACTGTCAACACACTGCCGATACTTCAGAGTTCCTCGGGGCACCTTCGAAGCAGCGACTCTTGCTGCTTCAACAAAAAGTCCCTCTTTGTCTTCGGTCCCACGGACGAACACATGTTCTCGGGTCGCTTGAGGAGCCAAAAAACTGCCGGCTTGACAGGTTTCGACAACGCAACGTGTGACAGGGTCTGCAGGCTTTTTTGAAGACTAAGACGTTGCAAGAAAAAGATGGACAAAGTGCATTTTCATAAGTGGTAAAAAAGTCCAGAGTAACCAGGATAAGTTGTTTTCAGCTTCGGGGTATAAGTCCCTAGCAAGCTTCACAAGTTTCTTAGGACTTTTCAGACTTGCACTTGAGGTTACAGATGTTATAACCCTATGTTGCGGACGGTGTAACCCTATTTGTAACCACCCGTGGTAGGGTCAAAACCGGCCTCTAGGAGTGCTGGCGGCCTTTTGCGGCCGAGGTGCCGGGAGGGTTTTTGCAAGTTAGGGGTTTAGCTGGGCTCCAGCTTTACCTGCAAGCCAAGTAGAACTAATTTATGGGCTTGGGGTTTCCGAGGTGTAGGGCTTAGGGCTTCCGAGGCATAGATTTTCCGAGGTAAGGGCTTAATACCGATTGGATGGCTGTCAGCAAGAGGGCCCAGCCATCAGTTTTTTCAGGTTTTTGGGATGAACTGGGGCGTGGAACCCGGAGGATCCAATCACTTCCTTATTTAAACTTACATAGGTTTACAGGGTGGAAATAGGGTGAAGGGCTTGTGGCCCATCAGCCAAGACATGATAATGAGGATACCGCGTGCCGCATCTGGTGCCGGTTTTTTAGTGCAAGTCACCCTTAGTCTTGGCAGCCGCTGGGCATCGTGAGGAGAGCATAGTGCGGGTGGAAGAAGGGTTGCACATACTTGTTTTTCTTCTTCAGGAGCTGGAACGCTAGCAACTTGAGAATGGCCCTTTCAGTTAGCAGGTTGTTGGAGAACCTAGGAGGGTTTGGTACCGTTTGGAGTCGCCGGATGGTTCTAATCTCCTACAAGGAGCCTTATGAGGTGTTGTGTTGGCAAGGCCTTGAGTTTTCCATGCCCAATGCCCACATCAAGAAACTCTAAACCCTAAACCCCCTCCCCCAGTCCCCAACTCCTTCAGAGACTCAGAGAGGCCTCCAATGAGACAAAGGACGTTCTTCTGCCGCTGCCCATGGGACTTGGTCTCAGTACGTGGGAGGGAACTTAACGTGTGCACCCCTAAACCGCAACCCGCCTAAACCTCAAGTGGAGGTTCTTGGAAAGCAAGTTCGAGTCTTTGGGTGGGGGGGGGGGGGGGGGTGGGATTGATCTGAAGCAAAATCGTGAACTCCTAGAGATCGAAAGAGGGATCAAGTAAGCAAGTCAACGTATACGTACATTCTTTAGTATGGTAGCCCTTATCAAAACAAACCATGGTCTTAAAGAATCTTAAAATAGAGGGTGCTTCTAGCCCCCTGAACTTGGAAGCGCACCGTAAACCCCAAACCTTAGCACACATCCTTCGCACCTAACCCTTATTACGCATATTAAATCTCTGAAATGTCGGTCAATACGCAACAAGTGTCGTTAAAGGGTGGTCTAGAACCTTGGCTTCACGCGTGGCTGTTTGGCTTACTGGCATGTAAAAAGACCAGGTTCGTAGCCAGAAGTTGGTTTGCTAGACAGAAGCAGACATGGGTTTGGCGTTTTATGTGGAAGTAGAATCCTTTTCTTCAATTTTGTGGGACGCGAAAGGCGGGGCGGGCGTCTTCCTGACAAGCTTCTGGACTGGTGACTGCTTGAACTTGAGTTACTGTACCCTATGCCCTAAACCCTCAGCTCTATATAAGCCCTAAGCCCTAAATATTAGGGTTTAGGGCAAAGGGTTTAGGGTTTAGGGGGGGTTTCGGACCGCAGTATCAAAGCTTTGGGGGCCAGCTTAGGGTTCAAGAGACTGAAACGTTGCTCTTCAGCTCATTCAGGCGCCTGTAAGTATCTGGGATGTTCTCTGAATGAAGGTCCCTACGGGGGGAACCTGTTGATCTAGTTGCCTTACTACGAAGATTCTTCAAGTACACCGAAGAAAGACGCCCAGGTCGCTCGTTAAAGGTCCGAGCTGTTGCAGGCCGGTGCAAAGTGGTGACAGGGTTTAGGGTTTAGGGTTCAGGACTTACCTTGATCTCCCAGCTGCCCTGAAGAGGCGTGCGTTGCCAACAGTTGAAACTTGAAGCTTTGGACCCTACACCCTGACTTCTAAAGGATACAGCTCAACCAGGGTGTAGTTGGGGAGAAGTTTAGGAAGGGTTGAGGGAATGAAGGTTTGGCTCGGGGATTTATGCTTTTGTTAGGGTTTCGTCGCTGGGGCTTCGGGCTGGGGCTCAGGACAGGTGGGTTTAAGTTTAGGGTTCAAGTTGGGATGTTCCCCCTAAATTATAGTACTCCCTAGAATGATCCCTCTTAAGGACTGTTAGTATGAGGGGGGGAACATCCCAAGGTTTAGGGTTTAGACTTAAGGGCTGCGGGGGGTGGGGGGGGAAACTCAAGCTGTTCTGTCTGCTGGCTTTCGGGCATGTGATGCTTTGTCAGTCTGACCCTGAACTTCAACGCCGCTAAACCTTAAACCCTAAACCCCAAGTTTTTCGCGCATGTATGAAGAAAAACCCTAAACAGTGATGCCCACCACTTTCAAGCCCCAACCCCAAACCCTCTGCCCCCCAACCCTAGATGCTGAACCGACAAACCTTGCACAGAAAGTTTTCGATTCCATACCCTAAACCCCTAAACCCTAAACCCTAAACCCTAAACCCTAAAATTAAGCCGTCAGGCAGGGCCTGCCTCGTGAGCTTTGAGGACCTTTGTGCCGCTGATCGCGGAGAGGCAGGAAGCCCTAAACACTCTTAAAGCCCCAAACCCTTAACACCGAAAACCCTAAACACCCCAAAAGTCCTCAACACCCTTAAGGCCCTTAACCCTAAGAGGCCTAACCCCTAAAGGCACATGCATGGCTGGCAGCAGTTTTGGCAGCTTCGAGTTCCGAGGGTACCGAGGGTAGGGGTTGGCGGGCTGCAGGTTGGGGTTGGGAGGAGATGGGGAGGGGGTTGGGTTTGGAGAGTTGGAGGGGGAAGGTGTGGGGTTTGTGATGGTTTGTGAATCGCAATAATCGTAATAATAGTCGTCGTCGTCGTTGTCGTTGTCGTGCTGTCGCTTGTTGCTGTTGCTGCTGCTATGATTGCACCCCACTGAGTTTTTGAATCTTCCGCACCTGTCCGTCTGCTTTCTCAAGCAGCCTAGTTTGGTGAACTTAAATTGGCATGCCGTAACACCAACACCGCACCTTCAGAAACAACCTACATTGAACTACCTTACGTGTCCCCTAAACCCTAAACCCTTAAACCCTTAAACCCTTAAACCCTTAAACCCTTAAACCCTTAAACCCTTAAACCCTTAATTAAACCCTTAAAACCCTTAAACGCTTAAAACCCTTAAACGCTTAAACCCTTAAACCCAAAACCCTACCCCCTAGAGAAGCCCCATGATGATTTCCTAGTCTTGTTTGCACCGAGCTGAGAAAATCCCGCCCCGCCCCCCGAAAGAGTCCGTGCCGGGCAAGGTTCTGGGCAACTGCAACTTTTGTACTTCCATGCAGTCCATATACTTCATGAGCTCGGCCCTAAACACCAGAAGCCCTAGAAACCCTCAATCCCAAAGCCGCAAAGCCTCTGCATTTGGAGCGCGAAGTCCCCAAACCCTAAACCCTAAACCCTAAACCCCAAACCCTAAACCCTAAACCCTAAACCCTAAACCCTAAACCCCCTTGAAGAGGCCGATTTCGCCGCCCTGGCGGAGCGCTTCCGGACCGTGCTGCTCGGTGGTGTACCGAGGTCTCTCCCCCGCAACGCTGCAGATGCTGCGCAGGCAGCCATTTGCCTTACATGGAGCCTCCCTAAACCCTAAACCCTAAACCTAAACCCTAAACCCTAAACCCTAACTGTAGCCCCAAACTTGAGCTTATTGACAAAAAGCCATTGTGTTTACTAATCCTAGTTCGGTTTAGGCTGTCATTGCAACCCAGGCACGACCCTTCGCAGAGGGCAACGCGCGAAAGTTCATGTGTTGATTTGTTCTCTTGGTGTCGATGTGTCATCTACCGTTTCTTTGTGCAATGCAAAGGTTACTGCACCGATGCATCGACAGCTCTGGACATCATCATCCGGTTATGCTGCACTCCTAGTTGCATCTGTTGAAACGCTCAAGCCGCTCAAGCCTAAACCATAACTTAGTTGTAGAGTAGGTAACCTTTAACCTTTTGGGTTAATATATTCCCCTTAAAATCCCAAAGGTTAACCTTTAAAACCCCTAGGTACTGGACAACTAAGATAAACCTAAACCCTGAAACCCTTAAAGTTCCCTTAAAGCCTTCAAACCTCAACCCTGAAACCCTGAAACCCATCAACCCTGAACCTCTTAAACCCTTAAGCCATGAAGCCCCTAAACCCTGAATCCCTGAAAACCCCTCACGTGGAGTCCTGAAGGTTTAGGGTTTAGGGTTTAGGGTTTAGGGTTTAGGGTTTATAGGGTTTAGGGTTTAGGGTTCAGGGTTAGGCTTTAGGGTTCAGGCTGTTGGGCTCATTGCGCTCCTCTAGCGCCCTTTCTGTGGTTTGGGGCTTAGGGTTTGGGGTTGAGGGCTTCGGGCCTCGGGTTTAGGGTTTAGGGTTTAGGGTTTAGGGTTTAGGGTTTGGGTTTAGGGCCTAGGGTTTTGCAAACTTGCATGGCAGAGCAACAGCACTAGTGCTGTTATGGTTACTATACAGTGTGGTTACTGTCGTTTTTGTTTTTTTGGCAGAGGTTCAATGAAGGATCAGGAGGGTTTAGGGTTTAGTGTCTAGGGTTTAGGGTTTCGGGTTTAGGTGTCTTCCCTACCTGCCGCGATGGCTCGATCTCATGGCGAGCCCTGCTGGGGAAAGGCCAGCCCACCATCTCTGCTTGGGCAGCTGCGGGTAAGGTTTAGGGTTTGGGGTTTAGGGTTGAGGGTTTGGGGTCTAGGGTTTAGGGTTTAGCGGGCTCTCTACAGTTTAGGCTGCAGGCTTCAGCGTTTAGGGAGTCAGGTTTAGGATTAATATGGATAGTTGGAGTGGGTAAAGGAAGTGATAGAAGGGGTAATGATGGCAATGGTTTAGGCTTCTGTATTAAGCCTGAGATCAGTCCGTTG